TTTGGCTCTGTTAAAGTAAAAGTTCGCCACACTTTCACCGCTTAGTTTTGAGTATTTTGGCTCTGTTAAAGTAAAAGTTCGCCACACTTTCACCGCTTAGTTTAGAGTATTTTGGCTCTGTTAAAGTAAAAGTTCGCCACACTTTCACCGCTTAGTTTAGAGTATTTTGGCTCTGTTAAAGTAAAAGTTCGCCACACTTTCACCGCTTAGTTTTGAATATTTTGGCTCTGTTAAAGTAAAAGTTCGCCACACTTTCACCGCTCTAAGATCTTCTGTATTTCCAATAAACCAAACCTGCAATAATAAAAAATAATATAATCAAGTAACATACACTTACCTGCTTTCAACACAAAATATAGAAATTTTCCAATGTATCAAACTGTTCACAATAAGTAAAGGGAAATAACTCACTAATTGTTTACTAAGAAGAAACAAATATTGTTTAAATATTACAATTCATCAATGTGAAAAATTAACCAATCTGTTTTTATCATTTTGTATTGCTCATTTTGAAATTACACCTACTTTTGAATAATAAAACACAGACATTTTAAATATATTTAAGCTCCATCAATTTCAAACTCTAAACCCATCACATTTTTACACTAGCAATTATTATGCACTGCACATTCACTTCATTCCAAACTATGAGTCAAAATACCATTCATAAAAATCACACCAAAATGTACATTTCATAACTTTTAAAAATGAAATCACTTTTTTATTTTTATCAAACAATGTATCTACAAACATTATCACATATAAAAAGACCACATCTTCAAAATACAATCATCATCCATATACAAAGTTTATTTGGACCATTTTTCTTTAAGCTACTTCAAAATCAGTAAAAGTTAATTTATAAGACAATTTTTTACAAAGCATTTGCCTTTACATTCACAATTCATATTAACAAATTCTTATTTTAAAGCTATATCTTACAAAATTATATTTTTTGTAAATGACTTACAAATTAATACTTATTTGCAAAATGATATCATTTTTCTCTTTTAGTAAAATGTTTTCCCCAAAATACTTTCATTTACAAATAACATGTCAAATGAAAACACCATTAATTTTATTTCACACATACATGCATTTTAAAATGAAACACAATTTTTCAAAACATTTTGAATAGCATCATTACAGTATATTTCTATATTCAGCAAAGAGTCCTCATCAACTTTCACCTTTTTGGGTTGTTTATTTTCTTTTCATTATGCATCATTTAGCTTCAAAATTTTATAACACTTACCAAGTATCCTGAAATATATATAAATACTTATTAAAATATCAAATGTTTTATTTATTTAAACACACACACTTTCATTCGAGGTCTGTTTTTTTTTTTTAGCTAAAATTGATCATGCTTTCAAAAACACAGCAATAATCCATAAGAATAAAGAAGTACAATATGCAAAACTATTTGTCTATTTTTCACTAACTTCATTCTAGGATGATAAAACAACACTCAAAATCTGAAAATAATTGTAACTTCTACATTTGTAGAAGCATTGTACACAATTGGACCACCAAAAACAAACCAGTCTGATAGACATGAGTAACACCAATCATTATAGACCCTAAATGAAATAAAGATCATCAGTATCAACAACAGAAAAAACTTACCACAACCGATTAAAAACAAAAACTTCAAATCACTGTCTCTTTACCTACAAAAAATATTTCTAAAAATTAAAGCACAACACTAAAAAAGTATTCTTTTAAAATACCCATAGCAATTCAAAGTAAGGCTGCAACGTTTCTTGAACTTGCAATTCAATACACTATATGATACTCAACAATACAATTTATTGCAATAATTATCACCTTTCATTTATTACGGAAAGAAAAAAAAAATAGTAAAAATTTGTTAAAGTACTATCAAATTTGTCACTATGAAGCACATGAAAATATCTAAAAATAAGGAATTGTAATAAAATCACAATTTTTAACTCACAATGAATTTTTGCAAATATCGATGTGAAATAATACTTGTAAAATAAAAAAAATGACACTATTTCT